GGAGCACTGCCAGCAGCACTTGCACCGAGGACCTAGTCTACGAGTCTCTGCCCGGGAGATCCACAAACCGCACCAGCTATCGTCAGAGCCGTAGTAGAAAACTTACTGGCGTTGCTATATTCTGTCTGTGACCGTGATGTTAGACGGTTCATTTAATCATCGACGAAGGGCTAATGCACCTCTTGATGCTCTTCAGTGCCTTCAAACAACTGTATATATGCCAATGCGGGGCCTACTGACCCTCCGTGGAATCACATTTGGCTAGTTTATTGGAAGAACCGCATTGTTTTCAGACTTGCAGACCTTCAGAGTGCTTGCATGTCGCCAGAAAATAAAAGCATGCAATGATTCATCGCACATTTATTAATGATTATAATCAACCATGCATGCTTTGTTTATGTTTTTCATTCTGCACATGTACATGTTCTGTCAAAGCGAGCGATCAGTGAAACATAGTCACTGACAGCTTAAGAAATACAATGATTCATTCAGAAAGTTTCTAGACTTTAAACATTAGGATGAATGTTCTTTTCTTTCAAAAGAGACAACCGAAAGCTGTGTAAGTCTACTAAGAACTGTTGATCACGGCTCGTTTTATAATTGAATATAACTGAGCATCGAATGGCTACCTTATTGCCTGCGATTTATTTCTAAATCTTCATATCTTTATAAAGAGGCATAGCGAATAAACGAACAAATGTGCCGCAGGTCCTCCGAGCCAGTTACATCCAAAAATTCAGCTGTATCAAGAGAAGAATGTAAAGATACTATTTAAGCTTATAGCTTCCATGAACAGCTCTTGTATCAAGGCTAAACTCATTTTGTATTCTATATAAAGATGCGAAATCACGTCTAAGTGAATGCACTAGTTAACGCCTGGATAAATCAGTGAACGCTGAGGCTACAGGCGTTTCGCTTTCTTTTGAAAAGGTTCCAAGATGATAGAAGAGGTTTTAGTTTGAGGCTCTGTAAGAGTTAAGTTTTCAAACGGCGAGTTGCGTAAGGTCAGCCGAAGATTGCTGATCGCAGACGATTTCATAAGTGAATCTAGAAAATCGAAAAGCAATAGGTCTGCTTTGCTCATCAAACTGTCAATCATTGTACTTCCACAATGGTCCATGATTGGGCATTATTTAGCTGTCGGTTAACATGACATAACGTAGGCATCGAAAGATCAAATACTTGAAGAATAGGAACACACCACAACAAGCAAGCGCATGGAACCTTTCTGACATCTCAGCCTGGAAACCATGCGAGCCAGATGTAGTTCCACGGAAATTCTGCTTGCAAGCGACACCTTTTTTTCGAGCCTAAAGAAGTTATGCAAATGAGTGAACTGATCTGCCACAGCAGCCCCCTCTTACGTAGTATTCAATGCAGTCCATTTCTGTCAATATTGTAAAATCATAAGCCATGAAAACTGAGGCAGATGCCGTTTACGGTTCTTAGAAAATATTTCAAGAGGAAGAAAACTTCAGAAGTTTTAATTGCCTGGTCTTCAAACATCTTCATCCGACAACCGTCGGCTCACCGACAGACATCATGACGTACAGAAGCGTAGACTCATTTCATTTAAATTCAAGTCGACGGACCACCTCTTGGCAATTTTCGTTCATGACTACAGAAAAACAAAGCTGTTTGCATTTCGAAGACGTTATGTGCCCATTCGAAAGTTTGAAAAAACAGCACTGACTCAACGGCGTGAATCATCCTTTGAACGGTTGATGCAAGTCGTTGAAGTGTTTTCGACGAGATCAGGTATTAAAAACGTCCAAAATCGGAAATATCCACGTTTGCTCCGCAGCGCAGAAAAGAATTTCTCCAAATAACGTCGCCCAGAATCACGTGAGTTGAAAAGCTTAGCCTCTTATCATATACAGCAGCTTAGCTGCTTCATTACAACGTTTTTTAAGTTTACGATCTTGCTGGACCATGGACAACCGAACGCTAGCAGAATATCTGTTAATATAGGAAAAGTGTTTACGTAGAGGGTTATAGGTTATCGCTGACCTCCGTAATGGATTTATCAAAAATAATCGGTGATATCGCACTAAGCTCCTTGTGATTACTGTAATGATAATAATAACCATTATTATTGCGATTATAATAAGTTATCATCGTTATCATGAGCTGTTGTCATTGATACTATCATGGTGATCATAACGATAACTGTGATGACTACGATGAACAATTTTCTATGACGATGATTTTCTTGCCTCTTGACTCTTCTTGATCGCCATTACCATAATGCATGGCAACCTAAGTAATCATCATCATGACCACCGTCATAATCACTATAATGATTATGACGCTGAGTCATGGACAGGTGATAAAATGTACTGGCTGCCACAAATACGGATCTGAACTGTAGTTGGACAGTAAAACATTCGTTAGCAATACAGTATGTTACCCATCATGGATCTGATGTTCAGAAGAAAAAAATATTATGTGAAATCGCACAACATTTTAACACGGTAATATGCCGTTCTTGCCTAGTCAGTTGTGTTCGTTTCCGCCTAGCTCCTCGCTCTGTTAATTTAAGATATACAGAGTCTTTCTGCGTACCTCATTATAAGTCGATGGAATAATTATATCTTGTATTCGTTTCTTAATGATCGCCCTTGTTCATAGCGCAATCGAAATATAATACTTTCGGACTGAGATAAATACAATTACTAAATCAGTTCCAGATCCTGTCTGCAGAGGCAGTGGATTGTTAGCGGTCAAAAGGTGTATATTCGTTACTAAGAGTATGCAGCCGAAATTGTTTGTATCCAAGTAGATTTCCATCTCCATGCTCATCTTTGACCATGTGTTTCCAGATACAGGGGGACTGAAATGGATATTCCGACATGAATCGCTGGAATCACGAATCTCGACAGGGTCCGGATTTCAGATGTCTAAGAGAGCTTTGGAGACTCAGATTGCAGTGTTACAACTGTAAATGGTATGGACAAGTTTGATGAATGCTTCAAGAAAGGAAGGCAAAACATCTACTTCTCCATAGGCGATCAGGAGGCCTAGTGATGGCCAAGAATGACCTGCTAAAGTGGCCACGACCACTCTCAGATCCAGATTTCCTTCTCTAGAAGCTCAGACACAATCCAAAAGGAACAGCGACCATTGCAATTGGCTGAGCGACCGATGATAGACGTCTTAATGGTGCCTGTAACGTCTTCAAATAAATAACAACGTTTCGGAAATTCCCGTCAAAACAGTAGAAAACATTCTATCCCTCCATCGCAAACCGTATTATCAGAAAACGTCGCTTCTGATGCACTTATTTCCGCTCACATTATTTTAATGACAGAATGGTCCATGGCCATCTTCTCGCTTCCAAACGTTAGAGAGATTCAAGGGATCAGGCAAGTCCCCGGTCCAAGTATACACCTTCTGCTGATCATCACGCTGGAAAATCAGCTATAAGGTTCATTAAAAGGAAGTTCATTCCAAAGGAGCGCTTGCATCTGACTACATCGCCTCACCTCCTATCCATCGTGCGGTCCGTTTGTTAACAGGCTAACGATCAACTGCCCGTTTTTGGGCTGATTGCACCAAAAAGTGCGGGTGAATTCCTTCTCCAAGGGAAATTTTGTTTTTGTATTTAAGGCAACTGCAGCTTTCGAAGACAGCCTCTTACCATCGTGCTACCACCGCCAGTTACTCCAAGGATAGGTATAAGCCATGAAGAACTTAAATTATTTTATGTTGTACTACTAATGACAGTTTTGCAGGCATTGTCATGAGATTCAGCATACATAGTGTCAGTCCTGTTTCGATCAAGCAGACAAAACCTTTATTATGTTATTTGTGTAGTCTTCAGCAGAAATCGCTGTTACCTTAAGGTCTTATTAATTTCATTGATGGTGATGCATTTTTGGTTGAAGCTCAAGTTAAAGGGCAGAGGTGAATATTTTCCTCCAATTTAATCCAAGTCCACAGTTTTGGAGTTTAACTTCTAAGGAGGATTCAGTGATATATGGAACAGAATTGCTATTAATTCATGATGCTTTCACTCCGTTTATCTGCATAGGAGAGTTCTGACGCATTTCGTCAACTGACATCTTACAGTTTCATACAGCATATTACTGAACTAAATTGCAGCAAAGTGCCAGATTTACATCCAGGTCATGTGATTGAGGGCATAGCTCAATGTTGCTCTACCTAACGATGGGTCCAGTTGTCAGGCCTAAGTCAGGCCTAAATATGTAAAAATGATGTACTGGAAAATTCTCACCTTAGGCAATAAAACTAGAGTTCAGAAGAGATTTGAAGCACGACGAATGGTGATGAACTGGAAACTTATGTAAATCTGATTTTGCAGTTATTGTGGATTAAAAGGGGATTCTCAATTTAAAGCAATGGCGTAGCTGGCATTACAGTCAGTCAATGAGGAATTACGTAAGGTGAAGTCCGAATTAACTGAGGATTTAACGAAGAAGGGCGACACAACTATTTTTCTTTTCTTCGCTGATTGTTTGTTAGGCGATGACTCACCAGTTGACCGGGCAGTGAAATATTTAGTGCAAAGCAGTTACCGAAAAGACCCAGATCCTGATTCACAGCGTTCCTAACAGCCTTGCTCACGTCGAAGGTAGAAACTGTTCAGAAGACGGTCTGGGTGTCCGCATAGCTGGTCGGAGAGCCGACGGCGTACGCCAAGGGCCTGCCGTTGTGCCACATTGCGGTCATTCCTTCATCGGTTCAAAAAACGGTGTATTTAAAAGAATCCGGTTGTCGCCGTCCGTCGAATCCAGTCGTCGATGCTGTAAATTTCCTGTGCTATTTATGTATGAGTCGCGTGCGTGCAGCGACGACCAACGGACAAGGCCGCGGTTCAGCTGAGGTGATGAGGTAAAAAGTGAGGGTGGTGCGAGCAGCTGGAAACGGTGGCAATCAGATACGCCAGCTTCTTCGGTTTGTGGCTTAAGGACGCGCCCTGGCGAGTGCTGGTTCGTTCGACCAAACGCCATCACATTCATGTGCAAAAATGAACAGTGATGACGATTGTGGTTCTGCCCTCTGGCCATTCGCCTGTCAACCCGTCAGTCGGCACGACAGGTGTAACTCTCCAAGTAGACTCGATCCGATCGCACCGGTCGGAAACCGGTTCCCTCTGGCGGCACTTCTTCGGTCGTCGTCACCGGCGCTCGGTCGATAGGCGGTCATTCGACGACGACGTCAACGTACAGAAAGGTGCATGCACGGTTTTCTGCGTTCCTTCGTTGATCTTGCGCCAGGTGGCCGGATCGGAGTGTAAACCATCATCGCCGCCGTCGCCACCTCCTCTGACGACGCATGTAGTTTTCGCCGCCGGCTTTCCCTCCCTCACCTCTCGTTGCTGGCTGTCGGTCAATATCTCGACTTACCATGCCACGTTGGTCAGAGCGGAACCCTGTGCACAAGCATGACCATTTTTCGAGGATCATTATCTGCGAAACGACGGACGGTGGCCACCTTTTTCTTCGGCTTCTTTTGCTGGCTTAAGCCTACCGTGTCACTCCGAATTACATATCGGTAGGTGCGAATGTGCGTGTGACGAGTTAGAGGTTTATTTCGCAACTTAAAGACTTAAGCTGAATGGCCTACGGTAGGCTGCTACGGAATCTGAGGTTGAGGACAAATATACTGTGCTGCTTTTGTCGCGTTGCCAGTCGTTGAACTGTACTTGTTTTTGGCCGAGCCTGACATGACGATTCTACCATTTGCTTTTGTGGCATTAGAAAAACTTAGCGATATCTCCACCGACTTCACAAATTTCACTTGCTTGAAAGACCTGATGCCTCCGCCTTGAGCCCTAAATGACTGACCGACCGCCACGTGCTTAATTCATAACAACGACGCTGTGCTCAAGGACACAACATCGCCCGTTCGTCCACCCGTCTGTGCGCATAACCAGTTCATCCAGGTACAGGTAAATGGTAATTGTTCGCCGACTGCTACAGCTGAAGAGCGTCTTGGCCTTGGTGCTGACGAAATGACGCATACACCGACCGCTTGGCCGTCGACTGACCTTACCTCAGGCAAAACCCTCTACGTGTATGAAACGCTGTGTTGGTCGGCCGCCGTCGTAAGTGAAGAAATCGATCGAAGAAGTGCGGCACTTCTCCACTCTCCAACAGTTCCACACGGTTTATCCGACGTCACCAATGAGTTCAGGTGTTCACCAAGTCCTACACAGTAAAATCGTTTTGGCTGAGAGTCATTTGCAGCTGTTTGTTCCACCCTATCCGTTTTGTTTTCTGGGCAACCGTAATCAAAAGCGTAGTCTGTACAGAATGCACATAGACACCAAGCTTTCTTGTGACATGGCACAAGACCCACTGGTAAGTTGCCCTATCGTCTGCTAGTGATATTAATGCATGAAATATAGGCACATTTGAAATATAAAGAATCTGATGTCTATCGCCTTTGCCTGCTCAACTGAAACTATTCTACTTACCTCTTCATCCCTTTGTGTAAATTCCTTAACAGTGGTTCACACAAGCATTGAATTTTCTGCGCAATTTCTGATTCTCAAAAAGAATGAATGAAAAATGATGTTAAGATGCGCCGTACGTTGTCATTAATGGCCAGCAAATGGCTAGACAACTGTGGAAGGACGCAGACGTGGGCCATGGCACATATATACCAGGCCCATATATGGCCTTCACTTTGAATATCCTGTTGTGCGGTTTGAGGATAGTAGTACTTAACAGAAAACTGGAAACGATGGAAATGAAACGCTATGATCCACAGGAAGAAGAAGACGAAGACGGAAAGGAAGAAAAATGAGAAAGAAACAAAGAAGATGTCCAAGGTCAAAGGAAAAGAAGAAGAAAAGACAGAGTACAAAGCAGAGTAGTGCCTGCGGATTTCAACGAAACGATAAAATAAAAAGTAGATCGAAGTCAGTGCTAAACGAGCACTAATGCATTGTTGGGAACATCAACAAATTCCACGAGTACACGACTTGTCGATATGACGAAAACAGTTGAACAAAATGAAAGAAACCCGCCATGAAAATATCAGTGACCAATGAATCAGGGTGTTACTGTCCGGTCACCAATATGGAAATGAGGCAAGGCAAAGATGGACACTTCCGCACTCTGTGACAGAAGTATCTTAATGCGATGGGTTGCAGAACGAGATATTAGAAAGTCGTTTCGTACATCGCGCGATTAATTATTAACTGAAATGAAGCAAATCAAAAACTGTGACACAGATATCAACATCGAACCTATGATAGTGGCTTTTTTCTATAAAGACATGCAGTGTATTTCGAAACAGTAGATCAATATGGAACTGGGAAGTATTTGCATTCTCTCCACGCAAATCTGCTAGAAAACGTGTTGCTTTACATGAGTTAGATTTTTCCTACGGAAAGGTGGCGGTGTCATTTACCTGTTATTGCAGGTAAAACTAGATCAGCAAAATGAATTAAGTTCATATACATAAGAACACAGCTTGACATTCTGAAAAAGATAAACGCATTAACTTTTCCAGATTGCGAAGTTGGATGCATAACAACGATGCGAAGGCTTACGTACTTAAACATTCATTTTCCTCTTGTCCTTATTCATATTTCCACCCACCTTCTTCCTGCGCTCTTCTTTACTATCGGTAAAATCTTCTCTTTTTTCTCTTCATCCTCATCTTTTACTCACTATCTTCCTCCTCATGTTCTCCTTCTGAACGACCTAAAGGCCATACAAGCATTGTATCTGATTCGAATTCAGATATCGGAGCTTTTCTGGCCACAGCTTTGGAGGTCTAGCAATTGGAAATCTCCGTCGTATATTTGCATCGTAAGGCGGCTATCATTCATTCACTGACAGCGACCCAATTTCTTAAATTAAGCCTTGACTGCAGCTACTCAGAAACGTTGACAGTCGATCGATATTTCTTGCAAAATTAATATTGGCCATCAATAACGCAATAAAGACCGAAAGCTCGAGAATATATGTCACTAAGCGTAACATCATTCAGCTCTTTTCTGCCAAGTAATCGTCCAAGCGCAAATTAAGTATAATTATTTCGTTTGCTCTGTGAAAAGCAGAAAAATGATGAAATATCTGACGCATACCGAACGAGGCTGGTATGTTGTTGTGATACACCTGAGGACAGAATGCCTCTTTCGAGCATGCTACAAGAAAGCGGTTTTCTGAACGATTTGGTACTTAGAGCACAGTGATGCAAAATGGAATCTGTTCAGATTTCATGGGTAAGGACAGTGATACTAATTGACAGGAGAAAGATCATTGCCTCAGTCAACAAAACACCTCAACCATCACTCTGGAAGTGCATTTATTTTCGTCATTTTTAATAGCGCAAAGCAAGAGCAATCGGGTTGGGATTCGTGACAATGGCACCCAGTAGATTTAATGTTTTGATTTATTGCATTGACAGCGAAGATCTTTTTATACAAAGCTAAATTAATCAATTTCATCAAGTCTTCAACTTTGATGTTGACTTTAAACCCTCCCAATTGTGAGGTTCTCACTTTCGAGGTCTTTTACATAAAGGCTTCCATGAAAACAGTCAACCGGGAAGAGGGCTGACTGACAAAACGGTACTGCGAAAACCTTAGAGATTGCTGTCCATATTTTATTTTAACAATTGCATGACAAACACTCATACAGCCTTATTTTTAATGAAGAATCTAGTTGAATCAAAGTGCATGAAAGTCTGTCAGACAGACAGTGTTTCCAACATTTCTGATCGTGTACCAGTATTTGAACTTCGGCAGAAGACAATTACAGTAGGAGCGAAGTCTATCAGTACATTTGCCTCAGGTTTCTTTGCTGTTTCAGGTCAGGCTGTCGGTTTGGCAAGTTGTAGCTGTTCCGTTTTCTTTTCTGAAGGCATTATCAACACGTGCGCAAGCCATCTAGCCGTGATTTCTCAGTCTGGAGAAGCAATGATTGGAAATAGAGAGTGGATCTCTCGGATATTTGTACTCCCTGGTATCCGGTATCGAAGTTTCTCAGTATTTGGATAAAGATAACTCACCTC